TATAGTTTAAATAATTTTACAAGTTAAATGGATTTTTTATTTTTTTTCTATTAATATTATATACAATTAGATAAGAGCCAATTGGTAATTTGACTGAATATACAACTATATCATTCTATCAATTCAAATAAAACAACTGCATTTATCATATATTAATACACCATTTTCCCAAGCATGATATAATTTTGTCATTATCATTTTGTGCAATTACTATACAATACCGTATATTAATTATCCACCACAAAAAACATCCAAACAGGGTATAGGTGTAATGTTTAGGCTTTTGTCATGAAATCTTTAATTGGAAAAATCAATCCTATTTGTCCTACATTAGCAATTCCATTATTAGGTTGATCTATTAGATATGCATTAACGCCAATCACCTCCCAATAGACTAGTGGCAAAATTCAAACTATCTGCAGGTTTTAATGTAGTACTGGCCAAGTCAAGCATTGTGATAAATAATCTAATATTTTCCATGTGAATATATGCTACAAAAAAAAGTATTATTAGGGAGAGAGGAGGAGATTGTACACAGAATGAGAATAAGAAATCCTCCATAACTAGCCTACGGAAAGTAAACTTTAGTACAAGATAGCTGTCAAATCTGTTCTCAAGTACGAGAAGCTGTTCCAGAAAACAAAATGAAGAAGACCTTGTAGGTGTTTTTTTGAATATGGTAGTTATCGTGGTAATTTTGTATGCAGAAATAATTTCCTCACATGCCATCCATTTTCTGATATTCCGTATGCATGTGTTACATTCATTCATCTCCATTCATTTCCTTGAGTTACATTCAGAGCCCACAAGTTTGCCAAGTAATCTTACATCTCTTCTTATAGTGATAAATTATCTGCTTTCCTGAAATATGCAGTTCGGGGAATGATGTATTACCGAAAGGCTCTTATGCTTCAAAGCTATTTGGAGGGAACAGCTGCAGGAGGTTAGCATTGAAAATTTTGTGTTGCTTACTTCTTGGCCTCTTGCTTTGACTATTAGTCACCTTATTAGGTTGCAATTTCAGATATGGAAGCTGGACTTTCTGCTAATGATGCATCGGATACTCAAGGTTTTGATTTATCTCCTGAGGCCAGGGCAATGGCAGATCTGAAGTTTACTTATGTTGTTACCTGTCAAATATATGGAAAACAGAAGGAGGACCAGAAGCCTGAAGCAACAGATATTGCAATGCTGATGCAAAGGTGATGTTTCATAGATTTTGTTGTCTTCTTGATAATTTAGTTTTGCACCTTAGCTTCAGATCTTAAATCATCTCTAGATTGAGAAGTTTTGGATGTATTAATCCTATCAACTAGGATATATTAAGCTTAGTCTGAACTTAAAATGTACTTTTTTATTGTTTACAGTTGGAGGTGGTAAATTTACTATAATATAGACTTAAGGCATCCAATGTGAACTAGTTGAAATGGGTATAAGAATAAATTTTAATTTACATAGAACAAAGATATGCAAAACTAGAGGTTGTTAAATATGTCTTGTTTTTATAATTTATGTTACAAAAAACAAATTATATTTATTATCTCATAATAATTATTTTATATAAAAATGTGATATACTAAACACACTCTACTTTTGCATATATTACAGGTACCCTATTCTATTTTAAAAATATAAACATCCACCTCTCTTACCAACATAGAATGTTAACTTCAGAGAACCTTTTCGATATTTTAATTGACCTGTAAATTTTATACATGGGCAACATCCCCTTTGGTACCTATATCAACATACAGTTTCACGCTTTTTATTTGAAAAAAAAATAGAATGTTAACTTTAATGACTGAAACTTAAATCACAATGTTACGCCTCTATATGATTACAGCAACCAACATAAATATACATTAAGGGTTAATCTAATCAGTTAACATTAAAATATCTTTCTACTTATTATATAATATCTATATTAGTAGAATGTTATATATTTATAAATATAATGTTGAATTATTAAATTTATGGTATTAATTATATTAATGTTCATTCTATTTTGATATATTACATAGTTTCAATTTGCTATAAATTTTTGAAGTTGCAAACTGAAATCAATTGAATGAACTTGAGTCACTTTATCTATTCAGTTTAGTTCGGTTTTAAAAAATAATTTTGCTATTCAACATAACGAAAATATATTTTAGTTTTAAAAAAAATTACAGATTTTAACATAATAATTAATGTACTTTATTTTGTCCATGAAAAAAAAATTCTTTACCAAATAGTTAATGCAAATTAAATGGAAAAACTAGGAGTACTTTTATATTTTAAAAACATATATAGAGAGCATGTAGAATGAGTTTTTTTTAGTAAGGGAGTATTTTGGGGTTTTAAAATAGTGGGATGAGTTAACTGATGAATAATTAATGGTTGACTAAATTAGGGGGGTTAATTGTAAGGCCTTGTGCTATATAGCAGGTGAAGTGTATGTTTTTAGAATACACTTATCTTGACTCTAATCCATAATTTACTTCCAATTGTTGGTGCTAATGATGATTTTGAATGGTGAAAATTAAAAATTAAAATGTATATCCGTAAATAATTTAATTTAATTTAATTTAAGTTGAATAGAGAAGTAGTGGGGTTTGTTTGAGCCAGTGCTTAACTTAAGCAGAAGAACTCTCTCTCTAAGCCTAAACAAGGGAACCCTAAGTTCACCGCAACACTTCTTGTGCGTCTTCCTTTTGGCTATCCTTCCATCTTACTAATGGTCTACTAACATCTCTCCATTATTTCGGTATCTTTCTAATGCTTTGCTAACATCTCTTCATTAATTCGGTTTTCAGAAATGAAGCTCTTCGTGTTGCTTTCATTGATGTTGTTGATGGGAGAGCACACACCGAATACTATTCAAAACTTGTGAAGGCTGATATCAATGGAAAGGATAAGGTCACTTTCTTACCTTCTTTATTTCTTTTGTTTCCTTTTTTTTTAAAACATTATGGTACCATCTTAAGATCTAGTTATGGAATTTTATTTTACTTTTTAGAAGTAAAAATTACGGAATTTTCTTTTTTGTTTTATAGTTAAGGAATTTTGTTATTAGTATGCATCGTCAAGAGAGAACCCAATGATCTGTGCTCAAGAAACTTTTTTGACAAATTTTTCGACAAATCTTGTTCAAATTACAATTATCTTTTTATGCCACAAAACACAATTTCTTCTTAGAAGTAATTATTCGCACATTGTAGGAATTACCCAAGTACCTACCTCCACATCCTAGAGACTGACTTAACAGTTATACCAATAACTAATTGTATTGTTAAATAGTAGTAGATAACCTAACCTGGAGGACATGCAATAGCCAGACTACATGAAACATCACTTTCTCCTTGCTACACCTTTGTCTCCTGAATTGCCACAGAGAACAGTGATTGCCGATCTACAATCATTATAAAGGTTGCAAATGAAGTGGTGGAGGCTATTAAGAAATCTTCAGTTCTCTTTACACGTTATAAAGCCTGACCAAGCCCATGGCTATCTTACAATTAAGCCAAAAGCGTCCAGGGTTACTTAGAAGGCAAAAGGTCAAACCCCAAGACCTTCTAGCCTCTGAGAACTAAAATAAGAGATGATTGGGGGATTCATAGTCCCAACGACCAAGGGGCATCCATTTATAATAATCTTCTCTCTCTTCCTCAATTGTCCAAGGTAAGAAATCTTCCCCAAACTACTTCCTAAACAAAAATGCAATTCGGAGGATGCCTTGCCTCCTAAATTTGCTTCCTATGGAACCTTAGAAGCTTTTCATTTCAAGAGCGACAAATTGTTTTAAGAAGATTTTACTAAATATTTTGTCTTTAGCTAAAAACCACATAGGATAACCCTCCCTCGAGATATTAAATTGATATTCGCCAACAAGGCCACTTTCTTACCTTCTTTATTTCTTTTGTTTCCTTTTTTTTTTAAAACATTATGGTCCCATCTTAAGATCTAGTTATGGAATTTTATTTTATTTTTTTGAAGTAAAAATTACTGAATTTTCTTTTTTGTTTTATAATTAAGGAATTTTTTTTATTAGTATGCATCG